TCTTAGCAGCCAAGTATTGTTGAACCTTAAAACTTAGCCACCTAGGATGAAAAAAGTGAGCTGAATAACGTTATTTAAGAGCATAGAAAAGGTTTATATAGTAAAAAATTGAGAAAAAGTCAAATGTTTTTTAGCAAAATTTGAAACAAGTGATCTATGGAAAGAGTTACGGAATTGGTTGGTATAAGAGAAATGTTATAAAATAGTCTAGATTAAGTTAATAGATTATTTATTTGTACCTCTTTTAATGAGAATATTTATATTCTGATTTAAAGCATTTTTAGAATATGCTTTAACTTTATGTATAGTAAAAGATAAAATATATTTTTCTTTTGAAGAAGATTGTTAATAATATGTAGGTAATTCCAGTTTTCAATTTTGATTTGTGTAGAGTGGTAGTAAGGTAAATTTTTAAGAATTTGGATTGTAGATAAATTATCACAGTAAATGTGTATATATAAGTTTTGTAATAAAGAAAGAAGTATAACTATAATATAGTGTTAAAAGCATTTGTAATATTAACTAAAAATTTAATTTTGGTGTTATTTTCTAAGATCTAACTAATATCAGTTTGAAGATTTGGAGTTTAGATATTTTTAATTGATGCATCTATATAAAAATGAAGGTTTTCTAATGGGTTAGTTATATTTGTTGATAGATACTAATAAGTTCTGTTTGATATACTGAGATAATAATAGAGTTAGTTATAAGTTCAATATTTGAATTTTGTATTTAAATATATATATTTTCTAAAATAATGAGTTGGTATAAAAAGGAAGAAATTTGTGATAATAATAATATTTCTTGATAATTAATTGAAAGTTTGTAAGTTTGTTTTTGTTTTTGATGTTTACAAAGAAACTTGATTGTGAATACAAAAGAAATTGTGAATATTTGTGAGGAAGGTTGAAAAGTTATAGTGCCATAAAATTTTTGAGGAATGAGGTAGTTTTTGAAGAGAAGGTTGTTTCATATTATAAAAATAATTCTTCCTATTTGTGGGTTAGATGTGGAGAAAAAATTTATCTAGTTATTTTTTTTAGAGATTGTGGATGGTATTAAAATTAATATAAGTATATTAATATTAGTTATTAAATTTTTAATATGTTTGTACTATAAGAAAATTGGTTCTCTAGATAATTTATATATTCAAAGATATATATTGTTCTATGATAATAGATATTGATTATCAGATGTAAAAAGTTGTTTAATATAAAGTATTTGATTGTTTTTGAGGCTTTAAATAGTTAATAGTTTAGAATTTATAGGAATAAAATTGTAAATTATATTTAGTTTGAGGCTACTTAAAGAATTGTTTATATTATCAATTAGATTACTAATATTAATGTTGTAGTTAAAATATAAATTAAAAAAGAGAGGCTCGTAAAATTTGTCATTTTTTGTTTATATTGTATGATTATATTAAGAATAATTGTTAATTACCAAATCTTTTGAAGCCATTCTTTAGTTCAGAGTTCTAAATTTATCACTTATTTATGCTGATTTAATTGATAGTATTTAAATTGATATACTTAACTGGTAAATACAATAATTATTCGAACAATAATCAATTGTGATTATAACAAAGATAAGTGCTTCTATTTTATCAAAAATTCTTTAGACTTGAGTTCTGATTGATCATTTTAGGGATTTGTTAAAACTTATCCAAAAGATTGTTTGACACCTTTATATATAATAAAAGCTTCACAATTAATACTTCTATTAGATATAAAGCATTAAACTGGTTGAGATGAGTCCTAACCAATCTTTAAAATAATTAATAAGAACTCAATCCCAAAGTAATTTTAATATAATAGCAGCACTTATCTTCATCACAATCACAACGATTTTGGAGTGATGATCATTACTCTAGAAGTTTGCAATAACTAACTTATTGTTCTTTTCGATTAAGTCAGATCAACCATCCTTTGTAATTTTTTGAGTCCTGTAGTATAAAATTGTAATTACTTCAACTTCTTCATATTTCGTGATCTCATTTTTATTTATATTTTTATCGATAAATAAATTTACAAAATACAACAAATATAAGGTAGCTACCTACAGATTCTCAGGTGTTGATAAAACTAAATCAAAAAACACATCACTCATTATCTGTGTCAATTATTTATCACCTATTTACTGCTCATTCAAATTAATGTAACTGGTAGTAAATAAGGTTTCATAATTAACAATCAAAATATGATGTAGATAAAAATAGATAATGTATTTATTTTCAAATAGGCAATGTATTCATTTTCGGCTTTCAAAATTTTAAAGCACAATTTCTTAGCACTCCTGTTCATTTCCAGAGCATGCTATATTTTTTCTGAAACCTCTTGATAATTAAAGTATTTAAATAATCTATTGATCTTCATACTTGCCATATAGTGCTTAAATTTCATATAGTAATTAATTTGCACTTCAAATAGATTATATAGCAGATGGTAATTATACATGTTGAATAAGTTGGATGGTGCTTATGTGCCACCCATCACACTAGTAGTATCTGTATTGCTATTTTGAAGTAACTTTAAAACTATAGCTACTATAAAGTATTTATATAGTTACTTTATAGTTACTTTAAAGTAGTTCTAAAGTTGCTTAGCAGTTTCTGTAAAGTAATTAATATTTATAAACTTACTTGAATTAATAAATAATTATATTTGTATTATATGAATATAATTAAATATTTATAAATTTAATAGAATATTGTAAATATTTAGATTAATAAATGTTTTATACTAATTAATTAGTAAATATAGTATTTATAAATACAACTACTGAAGTAACTTATTTGCAAATAACCAGGTTTAAAATTTAAAATTAATTCAATTATTACCAATATAAATTTTACAAAACCTAGTATTTAAATTTTATTCTAATACAAATTTTAATTTGAAATAAACATTTGCATAATATGCTAAAAATTTTTGTTATATATAGTACTTTTTACTAATAATCTAAATTTTACTATATTTGATCTATTATATGATCTATTATAAGTAAAAAGCATTAAATATATATAGTACTTAAAATATTAAAGAAAAAATCTTAACAATTTAACAATAAAATTTATAAATAAAAAACATTTTATTTTATATGAATGATATTAATATATATATGTACTTTTAAAAGAAAACAAGATTTTAGGTTTCAGATTTTTATAACAGAGTTGATTTAATTATAAATTCAAAAGTCTGAAGTCTAGCTTTCTTTTAATACAATAAAATGTTATTGCTTTGTTTATTACTTTTATATATTTGTTTTAATATTAGCCACATGCTATGCTTAATAGCACATGCAAAGTCTTTTGATTCACTAAGATGGTTCAGTCTTATCAAAAGTCTTAGAGAATTAGATCCTCACTGAATTTTGAGCATCTTCGAGATTTTCACTTTTGCCAGAGTTTTACAAAGGTATTTGCTATTTTGCTAGGTTTCGACATTTTTATCTTTTTTTTAATTTCAGGTTTAGTTTCATCTCTCGATGTTTGCCAAAAATAATTTGCCTAAAAAAGTATCTCTAACACTATGCTAATAAAAAAAAATCTAGACAATATAATCATAGTCTATAAATATTCATACTCATTGGTTCTTATTTTCTATGATAATAGTTTTCAAATACTTTATATTTTATTGTATTGAATTTATATAGCAAGGACTTGGTAGATTAATTCTTATTAGATTTACAGGTCATCGATTTTAATAGAATTGAGTTTGGAGATTGAACACAATATTTTAAGATAAAACCTCTATCTATATTTATATGTTTAGAGCGAAATCATTAATAAGAATTTAAAAGCATGAATATGCATAAAGATGGGTTTCATATGTATGCATGATCAGAAGATCATGCGCATTAATGAGCATCTAAATTTTATATAGGAAAATTAAAGTATACATAATTTAGGCTGTAGTGTATAATGTCGAGCAGAATTAAGAAACAAGAATGCAAAACATCACATAGTCAATTTTGTATAAGCTTATGTAATTCTATAAAGTTATATAAAAGTTATATATAAATTTACTAACCCAATGTAGACCTATATAATTATAAATTTTATATATTATTTAATATAATATTTATATACCAATTTTCACTCATGGTGTTATTACCTGGTATTATAATTTTTTATTAAAAATTAAATAACTTTAAGGTTAGAGGTTAGAAATAGCCTTAGATTAGAGTATGAGAGTTTGTTATAATAAAATTTTGAGTTAATTTAAATTTATTAATCTTTTTCAATTCTTCGTTTTGTTTTGGTTACACTATATCAGGCGATCTGACTGGCTCTACATATAACTGAGTGTTATCTGACAAACTCTTATGATCATGAATGTATTTCTGTCTGTTATTTTTTTCATGTGTTACAAAATATTCACATTTACTCAAATTAAAACTCAGCCGACGCCTCCCTACCAATCATGATTATAAATTGTCAGATAACACCATTATTCAGCAAATTTTTGAATAACGGTAATTTGGCTCAACCGGGCAAATGATTGGCTAACATTTGCCGCGAAGTGGCACGTGTTCATTTGCCCAGTTGAACCAAATTACTGTTATTCAAAAATTTTTGCCGAATAATGTATACCTATTATGTGTTTAAGGTTACAATTTCATGAAATTCTTAATTTACTTAAACTTACATAAAATTACACAAAATTTTTCAACCCTTAAAGTGATTCTCTATGAAGCGAACAGAACCGATATTTGCATATCGATAGTGATGTTATACATGAATGGATTATACATGTTTCTTTTCAATTATAGATAACAAATTTAAAAAGCTTTAATTGATTTTATACACCTTGCATAGGGATGGAAACACTCAATTTATTATACATATTTCTTGCAGTTATCCTTAATTTCATATTATTTCATCAAATATATAAACCTTGGATTTTTCATGATGAAATTTAAAAAAGTTTTTTTCTTCTTATTCACATCTACTCTCTTTATAACTTATAATACTCAATTATTAAAACTTCTACACAAAAATGCAATTCTTAAAAGTTTTATTTTTGATTTCTACTTTACTTTCAACTTATGTATTTGCCGCCTTTTCAACTCCTGGAAGTTTACTTATTGAACCAAGTATACAATATTTTGAATTTTTTATAAAATAAGGCTATACAAAGTTTAATTTTCGTTTTGCATAACCCTCCGACCCATTTTTAAAGTCCCAATTGTGCCAATTATTCGATTTTTGTATTTGTTTTTCCCATAATTTTATCCGGTATCACCTGATATATTCCGTATTTATCCAATAGAACCGAAAGAAAATTCCGCCCACAGAGTTTTTCAGATGCAAAACGAAAAATTAAATTTGCGTGGCCTAATATTAATTTTATTATTTACTTAATTTACAATAAATTGTATTTATTTATAAAAATAGTTTCTGGAGAACGTCTCGTTTCTGGTGACAACATTACCATTACCTTCCTTCCTGGTTCAGATTTGCCCTCCTCTTTTGATGTAATTAGACTTGCTAGAGCTGAAATAAATGATTATCACATTCTCGACACTAATGTTCAATTACCACCAGGTACATGATATATTTTTATTTTAAGGACTATTAAGGTGTGACATGAATATAAATTACTAGATTATTATTACTAAATAAAATCGCAAGGCCAAGATCAATATAGTTTCACATATGTTGTACCTGATGGTCTACCTTCCGATCCCCGCTGGGTAATTGGTGGTGGTACTGCTTGGAATGTACTGTACAATCTGCGACCTTTGCTATTAATAAGCCAGACTTTGGCCTTGTTATTAATATACCCGGAACTCAACAAACCTATTCGGTATAATTTAATAATATTTTCAATTTTAGTGTATATATCAATATTGAAATTTTTTTTAAAAAAATTTAGGCTGGCGAAACAATTACTATCGCCTGGCGAGGAGATGGATGTAAGCACTTGATATATTCAAAATTCTATTTAAGTAATTTATCATATATATATATATATCTAATTGATTATGTCTTATTGCAAATTTTAGCGTTACAATTATATGAAACTTCCAATATAACACAATTTCAAATATTTAATAATGTGAATAATACTTGGACTCCTATTCTTATTCAATCTGTTCCTGTTACCGATCGTAAATATCAAATTACTCTTCCTAATAATCTTGCACCACAAAATGGCTATCAGTTGAGAATTGTAGTTGAGCGAGATAACGCTTTGGAGTATTATTATTCTAATCCTTTTATTGTACGAGTGTCGGCCAAAACCCCGACAAGCACAATCCAAAGACATATCACGACAGGTCGTGTCAAAACAGTCACAATCCCGACACTCCCGACAGTCTGAATTTTTAAGTGGAAAATCCCGAATATGGAAGATGTTAAAAACTAAGTAGCCTCTTATAATTTAATTAACTTTAGAGTTAGGTCACCTTAGATAAGAGTTAGGCTAGGGTTAGCTTATTTTTCATCAGAATTTTTAATTGTCGGGATTTTTAACTGTCGGATTTTGAAAATGTCATGCCATTAATTATACCATTTAATTTAGTTTTGATATAAGTGTAATTCTATTTAATCGATTAATTATTAATTAATAGATATAATTACATGTTCGTTATAGGAAATAATGTCATGTTTCGCTGGGTGTTACTTTCAACTATATTGTGCAGAGTATATGATGATCACTAATAGAGATTTTTATAATAAATTAATCAGTACCTTTCAATATTCTTGAAACTTTGAGTAATTTGGAGTTATATATGTTTATATAAGTTTGGGTTTGGTAAATTAAAAGAAAATTAATATAATATAAGTTGAAAGTAAAGTAGAAATCAAAAATAAAACTTTTAAGAATTGCATTTTTGTGTAGAAGTTTTAATAAT